TATATATATATATACTAGCGAGAACTTTGTCTGGAACGCGTATAGATTGTGGGATCTTATCGTGTAAGACCTGAACATCGTAGATGAGTATGCCGCCTATTCATTTGAGCTCCAGCCACTCGAGAAAACGTGAAATTTTACCACACTGTCGATTATTTTTATTAGACATGTAATGAAAATGAATGTAAACACTCTAACTTGTTGCAAACCTGGCATCTAAGTTGACGCTGACATGTTCGGACATTTTTAGCTCGCGTACCACCAAATTGGGTCCTTTGGAGACAGCGAGCAGAAGAGGTCCCGTTCAGAGTTCTTAGAGAATCGTATGAACACTATTCGGCTGAAACTAGTGAATGAAGGGGATTTTTACTAAAGTACCCAGATTACGTCAGAAAATGTTTACATTTTATATGCGCAGATGTCAGAAATAATTTTCAAGCGAAATCCAAGCCTCTTGATTCTCCAGAGGTCTTTGTAAGAATAAATGCAAGCGGCACACTCAGGGTGAGCAACAAAAATATCACTTCAAGGTAAGGCATACAGTTCAGTTTCCACATGCTTACCTGTAGCGGTTGCTACAAGCGGCAGGTAAATTATGTGAGCATAAACTAGACTTCCCCGTAACCCCAAGGGGTTCTTCTAGGCATTGGGACTGACAGGTGCAACTCATTTCAGATCTACCCGATGGAGAACCAAAATCCCTATTTTCTCCGTACATATTCAAACAATTCTACTTTACGCAAGTTAGTTCATTGAAAAATACTTTGCTGGATACATCGTTTACAGTGGAGTCGGCAATCACTTGAAAACAGCCCATCAGTGAATTTTACAACTAGGCCTGGCTACTCCTTTACCGCAAAAGTGACTGTCATCCAGCCCATCCAATAGATGCATGTTGTTGCTTAAGCCGGAGTTCCGTAGGAACTCCTTTCAGTGCAGTGTACAGTGAACGCGGGTTTCGCTGGTGACCACTGAGTAGCAACTTGAAGTCCCTGCTCAGCTTATATGAAATACGGTCTAGTCGTTCAGCTCGTTTTCATTGTCAAAAATAGTGGCTTCGTAGTCAGGCAGATAGATGATGGTTTTAGTAACGACTAACGGAAAAGAGGAGAATGAAAACTAAACTGTCATTTCTCGAAGTTCCGAAAATGAATGAGAGAGCAAGAAAATCACTCAGCCTATTTATAGTGGCTGCTACATAGAGACCAAATATAGTGAAAGATTCTAGGTTTGACCGGCGGGCAACGGATTGTAAGTTGCGAACATTACTATTGCAATGTATCTGGTGACAATCTTCAGTTTCTTCTTGCTACTATTCCCCTGGAATTTGTTTATCCAGTTGCTTAGTTGGTTTGACTATTTTCTGCCCATCAGTATTCCAAATTGTGAATTCCTCAACTTTTTCGATTTAGATAAACTGACAGAGTTGACTGTTTATGGGTAGAGTAAGGAAGAAACTAGCAGTAAAGTCGATAACACATTCAATCAGCGACCACAACCCGATTCACTCCTAGTCCTCCTTTGAATGTTACTACGACGTGGTTTACGCCTTCTGTTAGTACAACGAATTGATCGGATCAAAGTGTTATCAGCGTACCACTGAAACAAAACGACTGCTCAGATGATATTCCTATCACTCTGGAGTGCTCATTTTCATGCGAAACCATCCTTAAAAATCCAAAGTACGTCTGCAGCGTAATTGTAAGCCAGGCTAACAAGTCAGCTTACTTTCAATAAGCCAGCCATCCCTCGTACTTTGTCTGGTTCCACATAGAGAGGATCATAAAAAGTCGGACAGCACACGCTCGTCGGTCTTCAATATAACGAAAAACGACTGGCAAGTGAATCGTCGACCAGGTTTCAAAAGTTGTTCTTAAACATTTTTCAAAGTAAGCTCATCATCCGAAACTGTCGGCAATAGATGCGTGCAGCAACTGGTCTCGCATCGACATCTTACCTTACTCCTAGACTTGCCTTGTTTCGATTCTAGCAAACGAAATTTCCCACATACAAACGCATGTGGCAGTTCATGAGTTCACAGAAAGGTGTGATGATGAATAGCACGGAAGAAGCTATTCGTCGAGTCAAACGTGAAGAGTACGCTTACATCTTGGAATCGACCATGAATGAATACTACACGAAACGAGACTGTGAACTGATGCAAGTCGGTGGACTTCTGGACTCTAAAGGATACGGAATCGGGTTACCAGAAGGTGAGAATGAAGAGTGAAACAATCTGGTCTGTAAACTGTTTGTACTGGGGCCATGAATATTGTCCAAAAAGGTTTTTTTCTTCCAGTTTATTCGGGCATCTCCCCATTGTTTTCAAAAACTAAGACGCTGAAACGATGCGGCGCGTAAACCAAATCGAATGCGGGTTCATGAAACCTACACGAAGTGGTTGCGGCCCATTGCGCAAACGATCAAAACACTAATTTTCTCAGAGGACGTGTTCACGATGAACGGGTTGGCCGTACTAGTTCTTGGAATTGTTGCCAATCAACTTAAAAACAGTTAACCCATGGTTTGAAAACTGCTATAGAAGAAATTTTCAGTTTTGTTAAATTGTGAACCGTGGGGTACACAACGCCCAGTTTATTTTCCATCACTAGTAGAAACGAAAAATGCTGTGGATTATCAGGAATTTCGATGAATTTGAAATCGAAAAGATGGAGAATATTGCTATGACAAAAGGGGTGTGGTAAATTCTGAGAATTAAATCACTGTTTGGGTCTATCTAAATGAATGTGACAGGGTTTGATCAGACGAGGCTCAACATAAGTCAACAGTTAACGATATTGTTTGCAATAACGGAGCCACTTTCCATATTCTCCAGCCCTAATGAATTTTAAGGATTTGTGAGAATTCCACGAGTGGTGATTTAGTCAGAATGTTCGAATATGCTTAGGAGTCGAATTGTCTATTGCTGACAGTCTTTATGAGCTAGCCGGCCGTTTCTGAAGTTTTACACAGGAACATGGAAAATTATTAGGCCAGAAATTGTTAGGTATAAATCTATTGTCGTGATACAACTCGCTTTTACCATATGCAAACTTCGCTGCACACAGTCATGTACTGTACTTTTTCCGTATACATAACATCGATAGCCGGATTCTTAAAGTGTCCCCAGAGAATGCTGCTCCGTTTAAACTTTGTATTTTCTTCCTGAAGCTTGTTGTTTGTGTTGTCAAGACTTTGTTCAAGATTTAGTCTTACACGTGCGCTTGCAGTCTCGTGATGATCCATTTCGCGATTTTCGTGTTGCCTCAAGAAGCTCCATCGTTATTCCGTGTAGTTCGTGAATGTGCCCGGAGGGCAGGAGTGGGAAACCATCAATTTAGCCTAAGGACGATTGAATGGTTTGCCAGAACCTGAGTACATCCGCAGCCCAACTCCTGCATGACGGACACCGTCCTATGTTCGTCTCGTAGAGGCGAGCATTTTCATAACCCGACACGGTGGTTCGCTTGTCTGCCAGGGTCACTTAGTATAAGAACTCATCGGGATTTGGCTTCTGATATTAGGTGCAATGGCTACCTTTAATCTGAGTGCATTTGCATTTGATGGTGACCATGCACGTGCCACCATTTATTGTGAAGTTTATAGTTCTTGGACTGGCTCCTAGGCTCGACTACGACAACGAACTTAGGGAAAGCGCACTCCGTACATTCTTGTGGATTCACGACTTGGGTGCGAAGATGTCTCACATAATAAAGCAAAAAGATCGATCTCTCACGATCACTCAACATTTTTTACTTCAATGATACGCAACTCAGTGAGTGGGAGATTTACCGCCCACCTGTGCGGTTTTCAAGCTTTTCACAACCGTTGAGCTGCTTAATCACCTGACTTCCGTTTGACTAGTAATAGCAGCTCATGTCTTTAAATTAGCGCTCCCTGTTCATCATTTTTCTGTCGAATGAACCGGATGAATTTGCTGCATACATATTGTTTCCAACCTCCCTATTCTGTTCGATACATGAACAGCTTTTCTAATTTTCGTTACATATAAAGCATCAACCTGTCAGTTTTATTAGATCAATTAAATGGGCTGCCTCCAGGAACCGTCGTATAATTCAGTGCCTTGTTTTTTCTATCACGATTAAATCTGTGCTTAACGCTTCAAAACAGCTCTGATATTTTTTGAATGGACATTACTGATGCGCTTTTAAAACAGTCGGCTCATGCTCAGTTTTCCGACAATTCCCTTGGAAATTTGTAAGTGGAATATGGTTGAGATACTGATTTTCTGGTTCCTAAACATTTTTATTGTCAAGAGCCAAAAGACTAGCTCTAATAGCGTAATGAGAAATGAATATCAGAGCCCTCGGATGATTTACTGTCGGCGTTTTCTCTCTTACCATTTCAGTAGTTTAATATGAGCATCCACGTATTCCGGGTTAGCTTTTAGAGTCAGTTTAGTTTGCTCTATATCTCGCTGTGTCACGATTTACTGTGGCGTTTTCTCTCTTACCATCTCAGTAGTTTAATATGAGCATCCACGTATTCCGGGTTAGCTTTTAGAGTCAGTTTAGTTTGCTCTATATCTCGCTGTGTCACACTGACCAGGCAGAATTAACCGGCATAGATTTGTGTTAAAACGCGCTGTTGTAATTCTGTCTATTCAGATTTGATGAGGAAACTATATTGATTATCTGATCGAAACAATAAGTGTTAACCAGAATAAGCTCATATTGACTTGGTTGCATGCATGCAGATAATTCAGTTCTGGGTGTTGAAACAATATGGATGACAGTCCGACCGCATGTGAAACACGAGAGAAAATACAAAAGAAGTCCTCAAAAAGACATTAATTTTGTACCAGTTTTCCTGTCAAATCAAAGATCCTTCCGACTGCTTGTTTTGAGTTTATTCGGAAAGAAAATACGGCATGGGGTTTGATGAACTGTTGAAACTGTTGCATCAAATTCCGCTCCCAAACGTTCCCTCTATGCATAGATGATGTAATACAACCTAATTCTTGAAAGGCAGTTTCTTCAAAACATCTCCTGGAACACCTGATTAACAATTCTAAGTTACTCTCATTGGTTTTCGGAGGAAGGAAGTTTGGGGCGATGGAAGAACCAGTCATTCTTTATGGGTGACATTGGTTACTTCATGTGCTTTGCGTGCTGCAGCACCGTTTGACTAGCAGAACTCTTTTGCTCAAATGTGTGTTGCATGGAAGCGATTGAAAGGTGGATTATATGAAGTATGGGAGTCCTGGTTGATAAAATCAGCCAGACAGACATCTGCCGCCTCGCCGTACGTGGACCCGGAGACTCGATTCACTCACAGCCAACGATCTGGAATGTTCTTTCGATGTACAGCTCTCTGGCTTCGTCCTTTGTTAGGAAACGGGAACGATTCAGCACCAATTTACCGGCTAAATCATTGCTTCAAGTGCGTGTCTGCCTTTTGCTTTCCTAATTTCCGGTAAACATAACTGTGGGAACTGGAACCAACGTACCCTTGGTACATTTTTTATTGCTGAATAACCGAACTCATTACTGGGCACTCTTTCGCCTATCCCTATTCCTGTGCTTCAGAGTACATCAAATGCTAGTTGAATGCATCCATCTATATATAGCAAAATGCCGTTTTTTGGCATTAGCCTATCTATTTTCTTCAAATACTTATTGATTCGCTGGTTAAAATTGCTCAACTTTCCACATTTCCTCGCTCTTTGAACCAGATCTTGACGCTGCAGAGTATCCTTTAAGTTTAGGCAGATTTCAGGATATTAATATCTCAGGTTACTTTCATCGGTCGCTACATTTGTAGGTAAAAGCTAGAGAAACAAAGAGTGAACAGTACACATCTTATGATGAAAGTCCGAGCGGGGTCATTTCCAGAGTAAACCGGTGGCCCGAATCAATGATTGTACATGGTGTTGTCTATTACGGTCTGATTAAAGATGCACTACAAAAGAAACTAGAAAATTCGATTTTTGGTTTCGCAATACGGTCTTGAAGGGTCAAAAGGAACCAACCCTGTCGCACGACTAATAACTGCCAATTACACGTCATTGTTTTCAAGCTGTTATCCGCCGTATGCAAGTGTTCAAAAATTCTCTCAGAAAGGCGCCATCTCGTTCTACTTATGGATGTTTCACTGCAACTGAAAATCACCTGACATGGTGCCCCGTTACACAGTGAAACCTATATCATCTCTTTGAAGAGAACAAGCGTACCTGAGCGGCCGGAACCTCGCGACTTTGGGTAGATATTGAATATACTCTTACCCAGTTGGCAATGTGATCGCACTTTAGAGATAAGCATAGTAGGTCCTTTTTATTCTCATTTGCTAAACTGGATTTTCTTCGAATTCTTCAATAACGCTTCTAATACCCGATAACTTTCAGAATATTGCGCTAATAAAAAAATTGCGTCTCATTCAAAACCTTACAGGTTCAAAATATCGGGACCCAATCTCTGAGACAATTCTCAAACTGCAACACAGTCAAACCATTGACAAACTGAAATTCCGCTGGTGGCAAGAGATGGACATCAACGTGTCTTGTGATGCGAAACAAACGAAAAAATCAGATACCACTTCACTAGGCGTAGAAAAAGTTGGTGGTTGTTTTGTGATGCTACTGATCGGAATGGGAGCATCGTTGATTGTCAGTCTGTTTGAATTCCTATACGACGCTTATCAGAGGATGGCACACAGTAAGGTAAGCTCGGGCATAATCTGTTTTCGCATGAATAGGTTGAGTATCGTAGAGTCTAAATTCAGTAAGTGACATTATTCGAAGTGAGTTCTGATGTAAGCTAACTGGAGAAAATGTATTCAACCTATCGGAAAAAGTTTAAGAAGTTGCAGAAGATCCTGGTAAATAGTCAGCAATTTTTAATTGGACAGCATTTCGATTTTGAGACAGAAGCTTCATCAGGCCCAGTGAGCAGGTTACCAAATCGGTCAGGTTTTAAGGCAGACGGAGAACCAATCAGTAAGTCAGTCCTCTTCAGATTATGACACTAGATCGGTGTTGAGTGTCAATTAACGGCTCTTATCGGTTAGTGTGGTTGCCAAAATTGTATCGATGGGTTGGAGGATTTTCAAATTAGTTTTGATCGGTTTTCGTTCCCTACTCTTCCACTTGAGGGTGCGCCAACTGATGATTCACCGCGGATGCCACTGGCAGATTTTCGTGGGTCTTCGTGAGCTTGTGGGTGTTGCGACAATTAGGTCGGGGAGAGGAGGTGGTTAAGTGGAATTCGAATCATGACTACTTCTCCTTCTGATAATCGCATACCAACACGTGTTAGCTCGACTGATCCAAGACCGTTTTCCACACGCTTGCCGGTTCAACGGCTTTTATTCTGTTAATACTGGGATGCTTATTTACCGCATCTACTGCCTCGGCTATCAGTCTCTGTGAGGTGAACTTTTGTCCTCGCCTCCAAACCTCAATATTTGCTAGATCTATTTTGTGTCCCGTGTCCAGTGCGTGTTCCGCTATTGCCGGGTCTTTCAGTAACACTTGACATTCATCTGCGTTTCTTGGTGGCCTGTTCATTTTTCTACTATGCTCCCCGATTCTGGTGAGTAGCTCCCTGGCCGTCTGTCCTATATAAATCTTGGTGCAGTCGTTACACTTAATTTTGCAGACAGTCCCTGGCTGTTTGCCGGGAGGCCATCCTTCAATTGTACATGCAGAGCGCAGTGTTACCCATCTGGAAAGCTACTCTCATGTTAACCGTGTTTAGAATCCTTCGAATGACCTCCGATGTCCCTGGTTTATATGGAATAACAGCATTCCCGATCCATTCCCTGTTGAGTTTTGCTACCGGTTCCAATACCCTTCTCTATTGGCGCCTAATCAAGCTACTGGATATCCACTACCCCGAAGTTTTCTATTTACTTCAATTTAGGCCGCTGTCCGATCAGCTTCTTCTGTGCACAGGGCCCTTACATGCCTACACATTGTTGAGGTAATACTGGCGAATACCGACTTCGAATGGGCAGACGAGTAATTCAAAGAGTAGCAGACAAGTAGTAGATTAAGGAACAAAAACCGATCAGAACTGATTTGAAACTTCTCCGACCCATCAATGCAAGATTTTGGCAACCACACTGACAGACAAGGACCGCTAATTGACACAACACTAGTCTAGTGTGACAAGGTCTTACTGGTTGGTTTTCCGTATGCAAGATTCAACCACACTGACAGACAAGGACCGTTAATTGACACAACACTAGTCTAGTGTGACAAGGTCTTACTGGTTGGTTTTCCGTCTGCCTTAAAACCTAGCTAATTTGGTGACCTGCTCACTTGGTCCAATGGGGAAAATGTACTCCCCAATGGAACCTTAGCTGTGAATCAGGCACCACTTCACTGTGCTCTTAAGTTCACGCTGATGTATTTTGAAGGTCAATAAACCATGCATTACTACCATAACAGCCAGAACTGCATCCCTTGTAGCAGTTGCATCTGACCGTATGCCCAATTAGCCTCTATTTGTGTTGGGCTTATCAAGCAATGCATACCGTTCAAATTCACAATTCAAGTGCCCACTTGAAGAATAAGTCTTTCCAAACACTTGTCAATCTAGACATACTGGAGGCTTGGAAATGTAATACTTTGGAGTTTACATTACAAACTCGTCACAGTCATTTGTGCTTCGCATTTTCGCTAACTCACAACCACAGTCTCTACTCGACTTCAATGCCCTAAAAGGGTACCCGCATACCAGATTGGTCAAACGGAAGTAATAAGTACACAAACGTTTCCTCTTCGAAACAATGAACTTTCTGGCCAAGTGCTTTGTTTTTCCTTGTTGCTTGCCTTACAGCGTTCTCTGCATGAAGAAGTTGCCCGCACTTTCCGCTTCTCCACCACCACCTCAAGCCTACGAAGTCGAATGGCGGAGGAAGCAACCAAACTCCCACCGATCCATTTGAGCGGGTGTGTTACGGGAGAGAAGACGAATTTTGGCTCTGTCCTTGCTTACGCACCATGTTTACCACCACCTGAGTTCCCTCCACCAAAACCAGGACTTTCCTACACAAACTTCATTAAAACACCGGTCATTGCAGACAGGCCACAATTTGGTGTGGGATCCGATTCGTCGTCCAGTGCTCCTGCAATAGAAATCAAGCCAAGACCAGGTTTGTGTTGGAATCAACCGGTCGCTCACATTTCTGTCATGTGCACCTTCTGTTATGTGCGGTGCATAGTTAAAAGTGTAGTTAGAACAATTTGTTCAGGCATATCTAATTTATTCACACCCAATGACCTAGAATATGTAGTTCAAAATTTTAAGAAAATGTATCTTTTGTGAAAAGCCTCACTAAAATCTGATAAAGAACATCACCCCTCGTAACATGTATCAAGGCGTCATGTGTTTGGGAGGATCAAACATAAGACTGTATTTGAAAAAATCCATGCCTCATGTAATTTCGCACAGTCCGAGGCAGACTGTACTTCAGAATCAACAGACTTGCAGTTCTTGTGTTTTACATCATCATCTTCCGGAGCTCATGTAGACTACACAACTCAATTTTGAGGAATTTGTACAAATATAAGTGGCTCTATCAAAACGAACTCTGCACACCCAATCCCAGTTAAAACTGAGTGTGACCCACGGTTTCCTCCGCCAGGTAACTGACTTTGTTGTAACAGACTTCATCACTTTACCCAACGTCTTTCAGCACATCTAAGGTTCAGTTGACTTAGAGGCTACTCAACGGCTCAACAGTTTGCACATGCGAGTTGAATAGCAGAATTACTACCCATGAAAGCCTGACCGTTCGGTTCATGGCACGAGATTCGCCTCATCGTTCCTCCGTAGTCTCGAAGTCTAAATCATTTATGTGCTGTCGGTCCCAAAGATTCCACAAGTTTATGTCAGACAGAATTAGTTCTATGTAGTCCTACCAGTTGCACATGAGGCAGACGTTGATATGCTGACTTCGTTAGCATATCAGCTGTGTTCATACGCATGATGTAACTGTGCGCTATAAGTCAGGTGGATACCTTCATGCCACTCAAGATAGTGTTCACTGATGATCGTATGATCTTATCCTCCATTACAGGATACTCCATTTCATCGTATGGTATTCCATGCGGAAGGAAACCAGAGTGAAATATTAAGGGACAGGGAAAGGTGTCGGAAATGCACCTGACCTTGTGAACATTTTACATAAATAGTAGACACGAATTTTGACGTAAGAAAGCAAAGTTTACATATAACATGCTCACAGACCATTGTCTCAGGACTATGGCTCTTCTAGGCTGGTATGAACAACAATGAGAAATTTTTGTACGATTGTGGAGTCAGGAGTAACATAGGAGAATATGTCCAGAAAAAGAAGCTCTGGTGGCTTGGTCATGTACTGCAAGTTCTGAGGCGCAATCTGACCAGAAGCGTGCTGATTTCTCTGCCTACCTTGGGCTGGGAAAAGCATGGAGTTGGTTAAACCTTGATCTGACAGAAAGTTGTGAAGGGGTTTGCGATTGGTGCAATCCGCCTTCCAAGACGGAATTAAAGTGATCCCTCATGTGCTGGTCTCGAGCGGTAGCCTGACTTATTTGGAAATCGGTGTCAATGGTGGTCTTCTTTTTAGTTTCTATAGTTTCTGATAACCGAGTGTAGACGTAGCACCTTGTGATGCTTGTAATAGGCTAGCAACGAGTACCCCACTTCTGTTCTATTTCATAACAAGGTCTCTAAATAAATCATATTCGTACGATAGCGGGACGTCAGTTTACAGCACTTATGCTCAACTCAGACGATGATGACGATAATGACGGCCTCTTACTGACAGTAATTTCTGCTGGCGATTTTCCGGATGTTTTGTGTCACTAGACCAGGCAGCTAGGCACCGTGAGGGTGTTACAGCTAAACGATTTTTTACTTCCGTCATTAGAAACTCCGGTTGGTATCAGCGTTGTAAAACGCTTGGTTCTAGGCATCTTAACATTGTTCGTAGGCTCGCCTACGTTGACGACAGGTTGGTAAGCGTTGCTGCAACCGTCGATTAGACGCCATCAGTGTGATATTATTTGGCCAACCATTGCTATATACGTTTATAACCCATGATTATCTTACAAATTCATACAGGAATGTATGAACTGCCCATTTAAACACGTACTGAGGTTGTTTACTCGAAAATTGACAAAGCAATTTTCAAGCAAACCGCAAACAGATGAGCAAACAGTAAATTCATCACAGGCTACTAGGTTTCCACTGGTTAATCAGAAAACTCAAGCACCTTCAGTTAACCTCTGCATTTCGTGAGCTGGATCCCGCATCGTACCGTAGTGTGCGGAAATAAACAACTCTTTTATTGTGTTAAGTAACCGCCTCCTTCATCTTGACGCATCTGTTTCTTCTTTGTAGACAGCGTGGTTGACGCCAACGATCTGAATGAACCAGCTGTCCACGACAGTGACTCACGTTTTATCTTCCAACAACAACACCCTCAACAACAAAGACAGCCACTGCCAAGCTACCCAGTCCATCGCTATCCAGAGCCCACTGTCGACAATGGTTTCATGAGACCACCTGGTCTCTATCCACCTGACGAGAACGTGGATGAATTTGTTGACGACAGAACGCAGCAACAATGGCTCGCGGGACCCAGTCCTAACTCCATAGGGCTTCCTGATCAGTATCCGTTGACTGCCCAACCGCCCTTGCGCAATATTTCAAGCAATAACTGGGATGATCCGATTATTGATCACAGATTGGGATCACGAAGCACTTTGAGCAACGCACCAGACTTTCTCATCAAAAAGGTGTCTTGTTGAGGACGCTATTAGACTACTAGTGTATCTTCACAAACCAGTTTACGTTCCGCCATTCGTCTATCAGATCATTTTTGTGGACACATATTATGTCTGGTTGTCGACTCTGCGCCGGGTCGTCAATGGGTGTTCCTGTGGCGCCTATTCCGCACAGCATTCGTGAACAGATTACCGTAAAATTTAAAACTTGATAGTTTCCCGAGCTTTTGTTGTCCCTTGTTTGGTTCATTTTTTCAAAGTTATGTTATTTGTCTGAGGTTGTTTTACCTCATTATCGTGTCCAGTTTGTGGAAGTAAAATTATGCCCAATCGAATTTGTGTAGCTTGTGGTCTAGCTGATGGTCTTTGACCGCTGTAAACCTTAGCCCGTTAAGTGCCTGAGGCTAGATTGTTTCTCAATGTGATTCAAACACAGCGCTCAGAATCCGCAAAAGCTTTGGAGAAACAAGCGGGTTCGACTGTAGTTTGCTTCTTTGAAACTGGATCCCTGATGTGTGCTCCTTCCTCGGTAAGCAGTGAAATTTACTCTTCCCGTAATTTTGCCACAAAAACATGAGTGCTTCACATAGCGGATCCCAAGCTTGTTTTACTGTTCTTCGATGAATTCATCCGGTTTGATAAACGCATGGTTTTCTCAACATCCCTAAATTTCACCTAGTTTCACACCCGTTTTCACCGTCAATCCTGACCGTACTGATCCGGAACGGGTTGCCAATTGGTATTGATGCAGCGTTGAAACAGAGGGAACTTTTGGTGGCTTGAGCTGAACGAACTTATCTAGAGACGCAAGCTACCTTATGAGGAGGCCACAAAGTTGCGCAAGTATACATTTAGGCAACGGGTTGCCGTAGTTCTTGGTTGTGAAGCAATAAATTTTAAGCACTCCTAAAATCCGTTGTAAAATCAAACTTCCACAATGAAAAATGAAAAATGAAACAATTTAAAAAAAAGCTACCCCCTTACCGCTACCTCTTTGATTTACTTAAAACACCTTATACCAGGTTTCTCCCAGCTAAGTCCCTACCCTAAACCACCATGTAAAATGCCGACTTGCATTACTGCACAAGCCGACTTTTACGTTCTGCCCGATGATTTATAGGGACTGTCACTGGTCCCCACGAAGCTCCTACAATGCAGCCTCTATTAAACCGGAATTTGAACATGAGCCTTCTGGTCCCCAGAAGCTCCTACAATGCAGCCCGCTATTAAACCGGAATTTGAACATGAGCCTTGGAGCCCCACGTGTTTTGCACTCATGCGGAAAATGGCAGCTCCAATTTTTTCCAGTCGTCTTAAACCTTGATGCCGAGTGCCCCACAAATCGTCTTGGGTAGATTCTCTCTCATCCGACGTTTGCTATTTGGGTACAAGCTGTAAGATTTACTTGTGGTGGATGGCGTGAGGCTCGGGCAGACGGCGACCGAGAAAGCAACTTCCACTGGACCATGGTTTGGAAACCCTGTCAAGAATCACCCCTTGCCCGGTCTTTTAACTCGGTGTCCGCTGGCTGTACATAGTTTAAAAGCATGCCATCCATGTTCAGTGTGGGGGGTTCAGTTTGGAAACGCTTCCAAGAACCGTCTGGAGAGCGCATCGGACGTCCCAAGTGGGGATGTACCAAGGTGACGGCCTGGAAATGTCAATTAAAAGCTCTTCCAGCAAAATGAAATGCTCATATGAGTATGGGGTGCGCACCACTCACTTAAGTCTTCATATCTTTCGTATTCTTATGTTTATCTAGCAGAGCATATTTGAAGCCAAATACCGTCCCAGTCACCGCTCCATAGCTTCCGAAGCATTGTTGGACACACGTGTGAAGGCAAATAAAGTTCTTTTATCCCAGATATCGAGCCTCACAATCATAGAGTAAGGGTGATCATACGAATGTCTGATGTATAATTGTATTCAGGTACATTGTGCTAGGTTCATATGCCATACAAGGGTACCAACAGCAGTTTCATGCCGATCTTTTATGAACAGATTCATTTACTTTGTTATGTCGGATGATTAAGATGGATCCAAAAGTTACTTAAGTACACACCACGGCTTTTGTTAGTATAATAATTAAAAAAGAAATTCGTAAAAAACACAAATGGCATAGCTTGAAGATTCTGTGATGCCCATGCCTTATATCGACGTACGTAGCCGTGTTGTATTGCACCAAAGCCTACTTAGTCAAACAAACATACGCACCTACCCACTACTCCCAGAAGTGAACATACATAATGAAAAATATATGTATACAGGGGTTCCTAACCCTTGACTAACAGCATGCAGGACTAGCGCCAAAATACTATCTATCCGCCATGCACCACTTGTTAACTTGCAGCTGAGAACAGTATGCATCTTGCTTGATCAATCAAAACTGGGACCAGCTTCAGTGGAAGAGGTACACAGGACCATTGTCCAGAAAGTTCACGAGGTTGACGCGATGTTCGTCCTAAAAACAGCACGTGGTTGTATGGGCTGCAAGCTACCCAAAGGTATCGGGCGTCTGCTGTAAAGAAGGTCCCAACCGTCTTTGAAGAAGTTGACCGCTGCAGAAACAGAAGATGAGCTGGTATTTTGTAAGGTGCGGAACCACTTAAATCATAAATCTGCCAATAGATCATGAACGCCATTCTCCAGATCGCCCGGAAAAAACAGAAATCTACTCTTCAAATACATGAGACATCACCGCAGAAACAAGCCATCCGCCATGAGATACAGTAACGGGGAACACAGGAGTGACTCAACAATGGTATCTTAGGTTTACAGAGAACACTATGCAAGTCTATATTCATCCCATGCGTCCTAGTCACATCCCAACTTGTCAAGGCGTCACTACGAATGGCTTTTAACCGACTTGGTCCTCACTGTGGAGAACATTTGTCAACTCTTACACAAGATAATAATAAAAGCTTTATTTCCTAACTTGTAGGGAACATGCAGATTGAGGCATGATCGGGTCGTAACAACATAAAACGGCGGGAAACAACAACGGGGGGGAATGTACAACCAAAGAGGCATGCTTACTACGTGAAAAGTCATCGCAATAATGATAACCGAAAAAACTAGGTCCGACTAGTTCAAAGATGAAGCCGGCTGATATGAGCAAAAAGTAAGGACCGTTGCTGGCCATGGGCGGTTGAGTAAATGGCCAGTCACAACAAGCAAAAATGGAGATGGAATAATTTGAAGTAGAAGCAAATGGCAAGTTTTGCCTCGAAAATATGGTTTAACTCGGAATTAAGTAGACTCACTAGTACCACCGTTGTAGGGAAGAAATGAGCTTGTGGATGAGGCAGACCTAAATCACAGCAGAAATCCAGTTTGGTTAAATCCGAACGAAGTTTTCATCGGGTTAGAATGAACTCGTTCCACAGGCACCTGGGGCCAAGTGAAAAATTCGCTCTTAGTTGCAACTACAGGCTCCCGTGGGAAAAGATGTTGCGTCGAGATTCTGAAAAAATAGTTGCGAGAGTGCCTGCATATTGGGTATGGCAGTGCTATGCTATTGTGGCATTTTGTACCCTTTTACTTCCATTATAATACTACGTATTTCATCAATTGCATAATCGTTTTTTGTTTGAATACGAAAAACTGCGAAAAACGCGCACTTGTACAATTTCACATAATACATGCGTGGTCACGTGCTTCGATTCTCTCTCTTCTGATTTCACTCGCGCTTGCAGCGGTCATTCGCGAGTCTCATGTACTAACTGTGGTACCAAAACATCTCAAACATCTTCGGAATCTATTATATGTGGGAACCGTTCACAAGAAGACCTCTGGACCAACATAATTGGATTATTTTTTATTCGTCGACCTGGGCCAACGATGAACTATTTTAAAGAGAACAATTGTTAGGGAGTCTGTTCCATCTGATCCCTTTGTTTTTGCATACCCAACCTAGCGTAATTATTTTTACCTCTTTGCCACACACTCCTTGTAAACTAACTTACTCGGTAGCCAGACCACCACAAATTTGGTGAGTTCAAGTATGTCTAGATATTTCTTTGAGAGCTTTTCCTTTCAAGTCGTCGTAATTTTGTTTCCTTTGCCCGGTTATTATGGAGGCACACTTTGATTCAGCGGATTTAATCGAGAATGCGATTAGCATACTTTTACCAGACTACAATCCACGCAACCCCAGGGTATGGTTTCACCAGGTGAAGGCCGTTTTTGCTACCCGACGCATCACTTCCCAAGTCACCCGGTTTTCCTATGTTGTCCAGCATCTTCC